ATTAACGAAGTCGTTACTTACTCTGGTTCTATTAGCTAACCCTAACGCTAACCCGAACCCGAACCCTAACCGAACCCGAACCCTAACCGGAACCCTAAACCCTAAACCCTAACAATAGTACTAGGGCGCTTGAGTCACATGTCTAACAGCACGTGACATCAAGTCAGGTGCGTCTCCACTCTTCCATCTTTGATAAGATAAGGATAAGGGCGGACTATCTTATCTAAGCGCTATACGCGCTTAGAATTGCGATAAGATTAAGTCCGATCGGTGATTAGTAAGTAAGACTTAGTCATTATCGGAACAAAGCTCCGGCCGCGTTCGGCATCGTAAGCATAATTGACCTTATCTCCTGTGCCGTCGGATAGACAGACGGCAAAGAGATAAGCACTTCCCGAAAGGGATGCACTAAGCAGAGTCCTGATGAGCTATAAAAGGCGAAACGGGACAGGACATTGTAGCACACAACGCCCCCGTTGACTCAGCTCGCCTAACCCACCCTCAACCCTAACCGGTCGATCTCACCTCGCTTCGCTCGGTTTCGATCTCCCTCCCTAACCTACCACTTCCCAAAGTCCAGAGCTGCTTAAAGCGCCTGCTACGCTTGCGTAACCATTTGGATACTTAGCGAGGGGGAGTGTTGAACAAGCGCTGGTTTACATAGCTTGCCTAACATAGCCGTCACAAGATATGGAACGGCACAGCCGTTTACTGCAATAACCGAGGCTGTACTACTCATGTGGTACACACACAGCTTCGCTGTGTACGCACTGCTTCTCTGTGCAACTGTGCATCCTGGGAAGGTACTGTATAGTACTACGCAGCCACAGATGTACAGTAGTATATATAGGGGACCTCTGTACCCCCAATCTACAGTTCAGTTCACTCGAACATCCCTCTCATCGCTCTAACAAGCCTCTTACAACCAACAACCCTTCTAGGTGAGTTGCAGGCTATCCGCTGTCGTTGCCACCCATGGGAGAGGCTTTCGCCCCCCGGGTTCAACACTGCAAGCCAATTGAAATGCAGTTTTGCTGACGTAGAGATTATAATGTGCCATCTTGTATGCAGCGGTCCGCATTTTCACACTTTTATCGATGGGTAGACTACTTATTGAGTCTCAGAGCTCAGATTCTTGTGGACTTGTCTATGGGACGTGCACTGTTGATTTGCAACGGACTGTAAAGACTCCGGCCGAAATGCGTCGAAAATATTATCACAGGCCCCTACTAGTAAAGTAATGCAAGCGTGCCATTCTATTATTGAAGTGGCTGAAGGCCAATCTCCTTCCCGTCCTCTCCGACACATGCCCTGATTGCCCAGAAAGGGAAGCTAACCGTGCAGCCATTCTCGAAGGACTTGCGACGGTACATCCCAGAATACACAATCTTCACCGAAGCGAAGCCCTCGAAGATCTCATCCTTCCCGGTCGAGCTCACCCAAGCACGACGCATCTTGAATGATCCCGAGGTGGAGGAGACACCGCAATGGTCATTTTCGAGGTCGACAGAGCCTGTGATACCGGCGGAGGCCTTTGTAGGCTCGGAAAAGTAGGCCCCACTGGACTCACACGCTGTGAAGCTCAAGGAGTTCTTCAGCGTGAGAAGGCTCAGAGCAAGCTCGAACGGCATGTCCTCGAGGGGGTCTTCGATGACACCACTCTGTAGACGGCCCGCGGTCGAGACATCCGCGGGTAAGTAGATGCGGGCACTGTTGTCGGGCTTTGCCTGGTACGTTCGAATGACCTCGAGCAACGCGGCGTAGTCTCGTGCCGGTGTGAAGACCGAGTTCAGAAAGGGCAGCTCCATGGCGTACAAATCGAAAGCGCCTTGAAACGACGGTGCGTCGGCCGGCTTGACCGCCTTCGATGGGTCTATGTTGGACGCGTCTTGCGTCTGAGTCTACAATAGCACACATGTCAGCTGCGAAACGGACGAAGATTTACAGGTGCAACAGAACCTGAGTTGTATCCTCGACGATGCTACTGGTGGCCGACGCGTCCTTTTTGCCGCGTTTGGACGCCCTCTTGGTCGCGGCAGGCTCAGGAGAGCGAGCGCGCTTTTTCGCGGTCTTGGTCTTCGGAGGCATCCCAAATGTCTTCAGATTAACGTCGGCCGCACGTCAGGGGCTCGTAGAGGTGGTGGTAGTGGAGGAAGACCGTTGCGACCGTCGCCCCATCAACGCGCCGCGACTCTGATTCACCGTGTCCCGGTCGCACGTGATCTTCCACCGACGCGTCGTCCAGGTGCTCGTCCGTTCATCACCATCCTCTCTCCCTGCTTGTTGCGTCATGCATTCCCTCAGTGCCTCAATAACTACGCGCCTTCAGCAGCTTTTGAGAGCGCAGCAAAACTGCAGGATGTGTTATCTACACCATAAAGTGGGCCTACGTAAGGCATCTACCGACGCAGGCAATGGTGCGTCACCGTTTCTTGACTTCAGGCTGAGGAGCTCACTAGGATGGACGGTCTTGTGAAATTGATCGAAGATATTCGTGCGAGGCTGATGACAGAGCTGAAGGACGCTATGAAGGTGTGTCTTCACTCTGCCTGACAGGATGTATAGGCGTCAGCTTGAACGAAATGCACCGGATGCTCTCGCAGACGAAAAACACTGTCAAGTCTATAACTATTCGTGTCAGTGTCTTCCTCTCGTCGCTTTTCTCTCTCATTAGAATACCTACGTATGTCCAGTCCGTCCTTTCCGAAGTCTACGCTGCAGACAAGGCCGCTTCCGGAACCGCGTCTCCCTCCACGGTAGCGAGCATCCTTCGAAAAGCCACGGTACGGCGTGTGAGTCCGACCCCTATCACTTATCCCATCGTGTCCTTCGCTCATCATCCGCCTCCCTTCGCTCATCATCCGCCTCCAAGATGGACGCTGCGATTGAGTTCAAAAAGGCTTCGCGCTCAGACCTCGCCGCCAAGGAGCAGCAAGAGGCCGCGATCCTCGAAGCCTTCCTTCCACCACTCCTTCCCGAAGCCGAGATCGAGCGCATCTTGAAGGAGGTTCTGGCTACACCGGAAGTCTCTAAGATCACTTCGAAGGGATCACCACAGAAGATATTAGGGCAAGTATTCAAGGCCTTCTACGGACAAGTCGACAAGTCCAGCGTGGATGCCGACCTTGTGCGGAAACACGCTCAAACTTTACTCGCCAGCTCATCGTAATGCCTTGTCTCTCCGCTAGACTTATAGTGTAACTAGCTCTGCCTTCTGCGATAATATAGACATCAGCCCCCGGGAATTGTCCCTCCTGGCCTAATATTATACAATGTGTGTTCCAATGTATGCGTGCGAAAGCGACTGTTACAGAGCCATATCGATACCCAGACTGAACAAACATCCACTACGCGAAGCCCATGCACCTAGCTCGCCTCGACAGAGCTCGATGCATCTCGGTCAGAGATCACAACCCCATCGCTTTCCGCCTCGGACGAAGACCGCTCCTCCTCGCTCGATGTTGAGCCTTCCGCCCTTCTGTCGCCACCGTTCGACGCCGATGAAGACCCTCTCCCAGGCTCCTGCGCCTCTCTCCTCACTTGAGGCAACACACTCCTCACCCTGGTCAACTCCTCCACACACCGGTATACCGCACTCGACACTCCCTCGAGCACGCGAAGCCTTTCGTCGATCGCTTCGCGCGTGAGCCTATCTAGCCGCGCGAGCTGCTCGTCCGTCAGTGTCGGCGGCAATTGGCTGAGCGGGGTCCGCGAAGAAGAGCCCGAGCCTGCCCCGACCCGAGTAGGGCGCGAATAGCTATCCTGCGTCTGTCCAGCTGCGGCGCGTGTTGAGCTGGGAAGCCCGTTCGGCGCACGATACGAGTGAGTGTATGGCGCGAAGTATGGGTTAGAGCCATGTACGCGTGTGGGCTGCACAATGCTCGTGTCGTATAGTGGGATCAAGGGAGGAAGAGCAGAAATGGACGTGTCCTGAGCAGCTGGACCAGTTCCTGCACTCATGGTAGCCGGAGCTGATGGAGACGCAGCCGACGAAGATGTTGGGGCATGGAGAATAGACGGCCCTGGCGCCGACAGTGTTGTTCCATTCGGCGCAGTTGACGCTGGTGCAGCGCCCGGGTCCGTAGTAGACTCACTTGTGCTCCGAGCCGAGCTGTCGGGCGCTGAGACCGACGAGCTGGATGTAGCCGATCCAGCTTGACGCCTCTTGAGCGCCGCAAGCGTGGCTGCAGCTCTCGGATCATTGGGTTGTGGTTCTGTGGGAGCAGCTGTAAGTTGCGTTGTTGAATCTGGCCCAGGATTGACAACTGCATTCGAAGAAGTCGTCGGAGTAGGCGTTGGCGCTTGCGATGTCCCACGCCGTGTCTCTGGGAGGTCCGCAAGTTGTCGTTCGTCACCTAGCACGGTAGGGGTAGGCACAGGGGGAGGGGGCACGCTCGACGCTTGGGCTGGAACGTCTTGCCCTTGTTGCGGCGGTACCACCTGAGGCTGAGGTTGCGGCGCATACCATCTAGGATCTCCCCACGGCTGCCATGCCTGTCCCGGACCATAGAAACCCCTGAACAGCGGAGGCGGCTGCAGTTGAGGCGGCTGCATATGAGGAGGTTGTCCCGCGGGAACCTGATGCTGCCATCCATGAGCAGGGCCATAGAACGGCGGTGGAGGCGGCACTTGGCCGGCGACAGGTGGTGCACCCCAGCCCATACCAGGGTTAGGCTGCAGCTGCTGCTGGAACGGTGCAGGTACGGCACCCTGTGCGAATTGACCTTGTGCACCCAGGAACGGGGGATCGAGCGCTGGAACTTGCGCGGGCAGTCCGAGGAAACGTCCGACCCAACCGAGCGGATTATTCACTGCGCCCTGCTGCCCGGGAGCATTCGGTACGGGTGCAGCACCTGGGCGAGGGCGAGCAGCGCGGCCTTGGCCTTGACCAGGCGCCTGATTAGCATGAGGCGTAGCATTGTTATCAAGAACCGTGCGACGACTACAGACGCAAATCAGTCAGATCCTTCACAACATGGAGATCTCCGTCGAATACGAACCACGTAGGGCAACTCTGTTGGCGCTCGAGCCAAGAGCGAAGACACTGGAAGTGGAAGATATGACCGCAAGGGAGCTTCTTGGGCGTCATGTTAGGCCCATCGACAGGTGGTAACGGGGTTGGCTGCTGCTGCTGCTGTTCCCCATCCGCCGCACCCTGATCGGCAGGTCCCGGCTGTTGGGCAGTAGCCGGTGTTCGAGACTGCATTTCCTCGCGGCAGATGATGCAAGTGCGATCGGACATCTCCGCTAGTTCAGCTTCGGTCGCGTCGGGATAGCGCCGATCCATGTCGCGGGTAGCGTTGTGGTACCGGACGAGGGCCCGTAGACGCGTGATGAACGAGCGTGCGGTCACAAAAACGTCACGAATGATGTTCAGCGGCAGGCCGTAGAATGTCAGTATGATCATGAAGAACGTCATGTACGTTGCGAGCTTGAGAAAGTCTAGAGTAAGGGAGTAAGGACACCAAGGCATCCAGCGCCATCTCTACTCCAATTCTAACATGAACGCACCTGTCAGAAGTTCGATGTAGAAGATGTACATGCTCTTGTTCTCCCATGGAGGCGCATTCTCGCCGCCGCGCGCGCGAGCCCTCCGCAGATCGAGGATCGAAAGGATGTACCGTAACATGGCATTGAGGGCGCTTGCGAGGAGGATGGCATACTATAACGAGGACGTGTGTTAGTGTCGCCCGGAATGCATGTTTGCCTAGTGGAGAAAGACGGCCCGAAGTGCCTTCGCGCCCTATCCACGACTCACGACTCTTCAGTAAGGACATTAAAAGGTGCATCACACGCAAGACATGAGACCACGGAGCAAGGAACGCCGTCGCCTCGATTTAACGTGGACTACTGCATTTTCAGGCGCAAATTGCGACCCGCAGGAAATGACCCCATGCCCTCTAATGTTACCTTGACAACTTCAGACCGCAACGATCGTAGAACAACTAACACCGATCTTTCACATCGGGGGAGAGGGAACAGAAACTCACCTCGCTTGCAAATAAGACCATACCCCCGACTCCATGTGTCAACGTGCTCTCGACGGCGAAGGCAAACATCATCGTGTCGACCGCCCATAGAACAAAGAATAGGACGTTTATGCGGACGTGAAAGAGAGTAGGAGGTCCGGGATAATTCGTTTGGTCCATCTAAAGGGGAAGAGGTTAGTGCCATGTGGAGGGACATGTGCGATATACGTACAGATTCCACGCGGTCGGCCATAAGCCAATGAAAACACTTGACGAATAGGAGGAAACCAAACATGAGGAGAAACGGCACGTCGAACTCGTCCCTGAAGATCGTGAAGGCGAGGAGAGACTCGGTGACGAACATCCATGTTTGGTCATAGAGCCGCTTGGATCGCAATGAACAACACGCATGAGGGCATAGCGAGGGGGAGACATACCTCGACTTCTCTAGGCTGGAGGGTGCCAAAGAATAGTTTTTGAAGGACGCGACCGAATAGAAGGGAACAGATGATCCCAAAATTCGCGAGAACCTTGAGGTGGGCTTAATGGAAGCGAATTGGGCCGAGGCGAGGACATGGCTCACCAGGACACTGCGGCTACTTTTGGACAGGTAGATCGAGACGGAGTAGAAGTTGCTGTGTGCACGACATGCGTTCGCAATAGTCGCGGCTACGGCGAATACGCTGAAGATGCAGTAGAGGAATATCCTGTTCGAAGTCAATGCTGCTGTGAGAGGCTGCACTCGCTGACGGAGTACATCGTGGATAGGCATTCAGCAAACGTGATAGACGTCGAGTCCGGTAGACGAATAGAGCCTCGCGAAGAGACCACGAGAGAGACCAGAGCCTGGAGGTGGAGGCAAGTAGGATGAGTGCCGGGACGAGGCAGCCTCGGCCGTGCACACGCCCGCAGTCCTAGTGACGCTCCGCCGACGTGGCGCATTGCTGTGACAGCGCCGTGACATTTCCCTCTACCGTGACAATCACACCCGGCGTGTGTGTGGGCGTTGTAGGTCCAGTTCGATCATTCAAGTTGCGGCCCTGGTTAGTTGCCTCCACCAGCCCTCCTTGCCGTTCGTCCGGTAGGTCTCCCAGTCATTTTTCCTGAAATTTATCGTAATCCTTTTTTCAATATTTTTGCAGGATTTTCACAAGTACGTTCATCCTTCGTCGCTTGTAACGTTGCCTTGCGACACGCTCGAGGCACCTGCCATCTCCCTAGTTCTGATCCCATCATTCCATGTCCTCACTCTTCTCCATTCGAAGTACCTGTTGGTTTCTCGCGAGCTGCGGTCCCAAACTTCGGATGAGTAGCGCTTAGAAGAATCCATTTGCTTCCAGCGCCGGAGAACGCGCCCAGTATACTAAGCGTCTCAGATGTGGCGCCGCTGGGCCATTGCTGAATGCGTTTGGGGGCGGGTCATCTCCTACACGATACATGCCTAGCTTCATCGTTCATCCAACCGCATTACTGGCGCCCCACATCCTGTTACAGATGTCAGCAAATTCTCATCGCTCACGTCCTACTTATAGCCTCCAGTCCGCATCGTCGGCTTCCTCCCACAACCGCTCACGTCCCTCCTCAATACTTGCGACGGTCGCTCAACATGTCTCCCGTCGTTGAAACACGCCTCCGCAAACGCAGCACCTCCGAGAAGCCAGACTCTCCTGCGGGGCGGAACGCCGCAACTTCCCAGTCCGCTTCCCACGCCGAGTTCGCCTCCTCTGGACGCAAGGGCAAGATCTTGCTCGGCCTCGTCTCCCTTACACTCTCGTCATACTTCATCTACGACAAGCTCACCACGTCTCTGTCTCGGAAGTCTCGGAACGATCCACTCGCCGAGTCTTATGCGCTATGTTCGCGCGAAGGCGCGCAGCAGATCTATACCGTCGACCCGGGAAACCCTCATCCCGAGTGCATTCTCGTACACCAGGACAAGTTTATCTCGACCGGATCACTCGGTGCGTGATCGAGCCAGCTCCTTGACAATGATCGTCGCTTTCTCGCCCTGTGAAAGTGTATAGTTACTGAGAACTCCGTGCATCGACAGATCACGTCCGGTCCGTCTGGCACGAGTCCTCTTCTGGGCGGCTCCAGGTACGGCACCTCGGGCGCAGCCAAATTGTCGTGCCAGGATTGAGCGGTATACTCTCTCTGCGGTCCCTTGCTTGCGTATGCTCATAATTGCCGTTTCTGTGCCCTTCAGACTCACATTCGCACGTGCTGGAGTACGGCGCAACAAAGCAGATGCCACTCGAGGGAACGACAAGTGTCGCAGGTCTGCATCAGTGATCGGGCGCCGTCGTGTCAATCCTTATTTGACATATATCGCGCAGAGACCGTACAGCGGGTGAAGGCCTATATCCTGGCCGATCCTGACATCCTCGATGACAAGAGCAAGTATGTCGAAGGATGGGGCTGGGACCATACGAAGTGGCTGCTAGAAGAATGGCCGACTTACGTACGACCAGAGTAATCTGTTACTCTGGCGTCTTGGGGCTGACGATGGACTGCCACTATTTGACAGCAAGCGCTTGAAACGGACCCGATCGTGGCAGGGCGGCCAGTGGTTCTCCAAAGCAAGGATGGACACGCTCTCTGGGTCTCATCTGCAGTCCTCAAAGCGATGGAACCCCTTCCTAAGGAAATTGAAGGAGGCGTGATCGTTCGCGACTCGTACGGCAAGCCCACAGGTACGCCGAAATGACATCGCCTTCTCCCCTCTCATCTTCCTGTTCCTGCGCTGCACCCACCTGACTCTGTCGTGCCATTATGCTTTGCATTCGATCAGGGGTGTTTCTGGACAACGCGCAAGACCTTGTCAGCCGCCCTGAGCCGACGCACAAACAGCTGCAGAAGCGCTTCGCGGCCACTGTCAAGGACGCCCATCGTCTAGGCTTGACGTCTGTTCATGACGCCGGCTTCAACCCCATGTCTCTTGAATTCTTCCGCCGGTGGGTCACAGGTTTCCTGTCGATGTTATGTGGTCGTCCTGAACTATTGGATGTCTACTTCCGACGATGAAGGGAAGCACATGCCGGTCAACTGCCGGTAAGTCAAATTGTCTTTTGTTGGAAGTACACCGCCTACCTTATGCGCTTGTCTCGACGTCATGAGTCTTCCCTGATGCATTAAACGCCCTGGATAGATTCGCGTTTACGGAATGAAGTACTTCGACGAGACGGCAGCATACTGGGGTGACTCCTTTGAGAAGATCATCCTCATAGGAAACAATCGTCTCACGGTCCGGAGCGTCAAAATATTCGCTGACGGTATGTCAGTTCACATCTCTGGCTATACTCACCACCCCACAATTTCCCCATCGGCGCTTCATGATCATGCTGAAACTCATGTGTTCATATCAGGCGCCCTTCGATCGGGCGGTGCCGCTGTGAGTGAATATTCGTAATTCACAACCAGGATGGCGCTGATGATTCTCCGTCCCAACAATGATGTCGGCGATCGTCCTGCTGAGCAGCTCTACGAGCCATATACCGACAATCCAGAGACGCGTGGCTTCATGCGCATCTCTCCGGAGTTGTTGAACGAAGTCATCCCAAAATTCATGAAGGATGGTTGGCAAGTTGTAGGTCCCTTCCTTTTTTTTCTCTGTTCTTTCCTGCTGGTTAGCGCCCTGAATGGGCGCTGACTAGAAGATTGTTCGACTCCCAATCGATTGCACGTTGAATCTTCAATCTGAATCTGCATGCGGATATTTACGAACGTGTTTACGCAACAGAATGTCCACGCTATTGGCGACCGGGCAAACGGCGTTGTCCTCGACGCTTTCGAGGCCGCTCTGGCAGAGGCAAATGTCACAGCGCTCCGCCCACGCCTGGAACATGCACAAATCTTGGCAAAGCACGATATGGCCCGCTTTGGTGATCTTGGGGGTTTGTCGCTTTCTCTCGAATCCCTATCGTGCTCATCTGACCGCTACTTCGCATTCGCTTCCCTATCAATTGCCACCGACAGTTATCGCCAGCGTCCAACCTACCCATGCGTGAGTATCGGTGTTCATCATAGTCTTCGCACCCTCTGCACATTGCACCCTCTTCTCGCCAACCCTGCACGCGCTTGTTTATACTTATCTGCCTGTTCACAGAATCAGCGACATGTGGTTCGCCGAAGATCGTCTGGTACGTTCGGTTGTGATTTAGACTGGTTTGTCGCCTTTTGGCGACCGTGAACTAAGCTGACACTCTGTCTCCTTGCTTCATACTACCTTTCCACTTCCCTCAATCACCGACTTAGGGCCCTGAGCGCGTGAAAGGATTATATGCCTTCCGAAGCATCCTAGACCACGACGCGCGTATCACGTTGGGCTCAGATTTCCCTGTCGAAGACATGAACCCACTCGCTGGCTTCTACGCAGCTATCACACGAGTCTCGCCGGAGGGTACGTCACCGCATGGGCCTGGTGGATGGTATGTCCCTCGTTTTCCGTTCGCTGTGTAACTGCATCTCCGTGATCGCCCGCGTAAAGCCGCCGCTTCTACCCACCTCCTGACTGCTTCCAACCCATCGCCACGGGAAGATCCTAGGCGCTTCTCCTCCCACCGTCTTCTCACTTAGACCTGTTACCCACCCTCTGCTGACCCTGACGGGTTTCAGGTTCCCAGAACAGCGAATGACGCGCGAAGAAGCGCTCAAAGGTGCGCCTCTATTCCGCCGTCCGTTTCAACTGAGATCGATAGCTTCCGCTATCTTACGGCACCAGCGAACACTCTGATCCTATCGCTGTTTGCCTATCTCGCATTTCGGCCCTTGCGCGCTCACGCCTATGTCCCCTCTCATCTCACATCTGCTCGCCCTTTGTAGGGATGACGATCGACCCCGCGTACGCGTCGTTCACAGAAGATATCCTCGGCTCAATCGCTCCTGGAAAATTCGCCGACTTCGTTGTGCTCTCTCAAGACATCATGACGGTTGCTCCCCAGAAGGTCTTGAGTACCCACGTCGTCGCCACCGTCATCGACGGGAAGCCTGTATACGGCACTATCTAAGAGGGCTAGCGGGCTGTTTACCGCTTTCCTCAATTACAGACGTGTCTCACCGCACCATCCGTCCGGCGCTCTCATTGATGTCGATGTTTGACTATTTTTTGGCGATGACGCCTAACGGTCAGATACCCACGCTATTTACTTGGAACATCGTCGCTATTGTACAGTATTACGGCTACCATGCGAACAGAGAGGAATTATGTTGTGATTTCGCGGCTGTTTATGCAAGACGATTGTGGCGGTTACACGTTCTTGTGTCCGTCAATTCAAAGTCCACTGCTTCTTGACTACTCTTTACTTCTGGCCGGTGTATGGCCCGGCGGAGATACAACGATTTCTTGAGTTGCCACAAAATGACGCCATGTCGACATTGACCCCAAAATGATGTCAGAGCTTCGATTCTTACGCCAAAGCAAGGTGGTCCCGAATTGAAGGACCATGACTTTATAGCATGAACACGGACCGAGCACGTCAGGTTCGCTAGTTTGCTCTCGTTCCGCCTGGGCGGCATAGCTGCTACGGTGGACTCACAATGCGTCGTCAATGACCTTCAATTATCTTCCATTCCTAGGGATTGCGGTATATAGAGCCTTGATCTGTCAACCCAGAAGAGGTTTTGAAGTAGGATATACGACGCTGGATGGACGGCACCAGGACTAGACTGAACAGTAGTACGGTGAAGGATTGAAAATACGGCAGCCAGCGAAACGAGGCTGTATAGTAACAGATGATTATACGTTCTCCCGATACGATACTTGCTACGAATTAGTATAAGGAGTTTGTAATGTGGGTAGTACAATACTAGACATCAAGAGCCAAGTTAGAAATAGAGCCCGAACGCGAAGGCGCTCGGAAGTCATACGGATAACCACAAACGGAATATACATAGAACATGGTCATGTGAACGACAGTGGGCAGATATTGATATTGACAGCCCGTCGACATCAGACCGTCGAACAGTAGGATCGCATCACCGCAAAACTCTCACTACGGTCACGTCCTAAAGATATCGTCGTTCAGGGCGTTCTCCTGGGAGGAAGAAGGCATGGGTGGATCACGATATGACCGCCGCGATGAAGCGGACGCCGAGTAATAACCAAACTCAGAGAGCTTCGGCTTGGAATTACGGGTAGGAGACGACAAGGCGCTAGGCTCAGGGTCTAGGTCCATCGCGTCACCTACGTTCTGGGTCTCCGGGTCAATGTCAAGAGCGGTATTGAGAGACCGCTGTGATTCGCGCGCCTTTCGTTGGCTGTAGAAGGATGGAGCGCCGTTGAATGGTGCGGAGTTCAAGTCCCGCAGCCAGTCATCGGGCGAGCGGCGGCCCCCGGCGTTCGTATCGTCCCCCGAGTCGCTTGAAATACTGATGATGTCGTCGGCGATGGGCCGTTTGGCAGGACAAGGAGATGCCGGCACCGAAGGCGGTATGCCAACCCTGTCAGACCGAGATGTGGAAGGCGTCGTGAAAGCCGACGACGATGGTGGAGGTGCAGGAGAAGAACGGGGCCACACATTGAGTGGTGAAGGCGAGCGTGACGAGTCGGATTCCAAGAATAGGGGATCCACCTGCCCACGGGAGGTGGACGTGAATCCACTGTTACTCGGACCAGGCTCGTCGAAAAACGACCGCGTGTCCTGGACCGCGCCCTTATGGCCGGTCTTCCTGCGCTTCGCTTGCATTGGGGATGAGAAAGGAGAGGGATCCCGATAGGCACGCTCTTTTCCTTTGCCCTTCTCGGCTCTCCTGCGACTATCCCTTGCGCTAGCAGACGCTGACATGGGAGTAAGTGAGGCAGCAAGCGCGGAAGGTATTCTGCCGCGAGTCTTCTTTGACCCTTTGGGAATGGGCACGGGCTCGCCATCGGGGCCTATCCCAAGATAACGGTTGATCTCCTGGGCATGCTGACTGAATCTGTTACGTCCATAGTCCTGGGGTACGACCCACGGGTCATCGTACACATCACCTTCGCCAGCTTGACGCTCGTTCTGCTTCCTCTTCTTCGGTGTCGTCCCGCGAATCCGGGGCTCAGGCTGGTTTGCCGGCACGCCCGAAGCCGAGGCAGCTGCCGAGGTCAGAATGGGAGCCTCGTGGGCGAATAGCGAGGGAGCACTCTGCTGCGCCTGCGAAGGAGCGCTCCGCGCGCTTGGGGTAGTCGAGACCCGAGTACGGGCCTGCGTCCGAGGAGCGCTTCGAGACACGGCGGAAAGCCGGTCATATTCCCCGAAGACGCTCGCATTCCCGATCTCCCTGTAATTCACTTCGGTGGGCAGATCATCCCTCTCGTCTGTGTCCACGATGAGTTGATCGGGATCATCTGGGTCCGGCCAAGTGAACATGAATCCGCAGCGGCGAAAGGGGAGCGATGTATCGACCATGGGATTGAAGTCGTGTTGAGGCGGCGCAGATGATGCATATGGATTGATGGCGAGGTAGTCGTAATCGTTGTGGGACGCCGCGCGTGCTTTACCCTTACCTCGACCAGCGCGTTTAGGGGCAGGCTGCGGGGCAGGTGGTTGGACAGAAGGGGCGGCAGCAGCAGCTACATGTAGCATTGGGACTGGATCAGCCGCCGGAGGTGCTACAGGACGATACGCCTGCGGCGCTACAGCTTGCGGAGCGCCAGGCTGAGGGCGGGGTGCAGCGGCAGCTCTATTCCTCGACGCTGTGTTCCCGCTCATATTCGAACCTCGCGCCCGTCCTCCGCGGTTCCGGTTGTTCTCCCATTCCTCGACCAAGGCGGGATGGACCTGCCTCATGATCGTCTCCGGAATCCAGAGCAACATGTCGTCACGCGGATCCGTCTGCTTCCCCCGTTTTTTCTTCTTCCTGCCATCTTCTCCCTCATCTTCATCTTCCTCATCACCCTCATCCGGCTCATCCTCCGTGTATGCGATCCACCTCTTCCTTGGCCCAGGTTCATCATGCAGTCCTTTGATGCCCGACCCCGCGATCGCGACGAGTTGCTCCCGACACACCTTGACGCGAAGCTCGGATAGCTTGTCTGTAGAGACATGCTCACGGCGACCCGTGATTCCCACAATGAGCGGATGGGTATCCTCCACGTACTCCACGCCAGCGTCCGGACCGCGGTCATCAGGTTCGGGCGTGTCGGGCCTCGCGAATGCAGACCTGAGCGCCTCCAAATCGATGTTTCGCTGAGCCGCATACCCGCCACCCCTGGCCTTCGGTGCAAGAGTCATCTTGACGAGCGTCGCAGATGTTCCAACGGCTTCGTACGGTCTCGGCCTAAGTGGGCCACGCACGCTGGCCTCCCCAGTGGGGAGTCCCTGCGCGATCCGCCTGTCCTTCTCGCGACTGTCCGCCTCGAGCGCAGCAGCCCGCAGGACGCGCATGACGAGACTCTGCGTCAAGAGGCTTCCAAAACGCTTGAGAATTGCGGATTTGTAGCCCCAGTCTTCGAAGTGCTTCTCGCAGAACCAGGCCAAGCCGGGTAGGTCGAGCGGCTCCCGGTCTCTAGGTGGCCCACCGCAGTTACCCCCATTGGACGCGCTCGTAACGGGTTCGACATAGAGCTGGAGGGTCTTCACCTTTGGCCATTCCTGGGGAATCACAAAATTGGGCGCACCGCGCGCCATCAGTCCGTGCGAGTTAGCGCGGATGGCGGCTTGGAGCTCAGTGCGCCACTGTTCGAGCCAGATAGTGAAGTGACCGCTCTCGCCGTATCGCTCGTAAGCCTGAACGAGTTGCTCGCCAAACCCTGATCGAGCCATGGCGTGTGCCATGGCTGGGCCACACCTGAAGATGCCCTGGATAGAAGGTTTGTCCCGTGAACACTACCGTTAGACGTCGAACTGGCGTTCTTACCGTGTCATAATCGCCCCCTGACATGAGCGCGAAGAGGATCAGGCCATCACGAGTGAGCCGGACATCGGGATGGCGTCTGATGTCGTCGGCGGTGTAGACGTGGGCGTGTGCTTTGCTGGTGTTGCCATCCGCATTCTTAGGAGGGTTGCCTTTATTCCCGGAAAGATCGAGGCCGAAACTGTGAGGTCCATTGAGCTTGGTCAAATAGAGCACGACAACACATCCAGCCTGGGATGAGGGCGAAAATACATAGCGCGCAATTGCTCACTGAGGCAGCGCCCTTCGCTTGCAAGTACTGGCACACACCGCACCCGATGGACAACCTGGATTCTGCTGACGCTTGCAGCCGTCCAAGGCAAACACCGAGCGGCGACCCAGAGATTCCAGACGAGCGGACCCCAAGCAGACGAGGCGACGAGATGAAAAGAGACGCACTTCTTGATGACGGTCTGCGCCCCAAAGATGAGACAGTCGATGTCGTCTGTGACCACGGCGTCGATAGCCCCGACCTGGTTGAGGAAGGCAAGCTCGGCTTCGGCCTCTCCCTTCGCCTACAGGCGACGATGCCGTAAGTGGGGAAAGGCACCGACAGATCAAAGAAGCACGCACTTCACGCCAATCCATTCCAAATAACTTAATCAGCTCCTTGAATTTCGGCGCAAGCTCGTGGCTGCCGCTCTTGCCCATCTTGCTCCCTCTCTTCTCCAGCGGCCGCCCTCGCCCATCGAACACGAAGAGCAAGCTCACCGGAAGCTTGGACCATTGCGCGAGCCTGAAGAAGAGCGTCCGTAGCTCCGGATTGACCCCAACGTTGCGGGCGCCCTGGGCGCTGGACGCGTTGGGGTTCTTCTTGGTTGAGAGCCATTTGGCAGTTGAGACGTGCTGGAGCCACAAGGAGGCGTCGATCCCGACGCGTAGCGTGCGAGTACCGTGCTTGTTTGCCTCAAATCCGTCGACAACGGCGAGATGAGCGACAGAGCGCGTCTGGCGTGATTTGTTGATGATCTACGGAGCTGTGAGCCCATCGGACAGTCAGGGGGGTTCGTCGAGGACGTCACGTACCTCCCATAAGCCTGAAACACCCATCGTGGAAGGCGATATGTACGACAAGTCTGTTGTGATGCAGCGGTTGTCAAGGCAAGAGGCTACAGGGGGGAGAAAGCGCCCGCGCTGGAGGTAGCCCTTGGGCCCTTGCAAGAGGGGATCATGGATGTGGGAAATTGCAAGGATGCATCTGCGTTGGACGACGGATGCATCCCTTTCCCAATAAGGCAGGTCCCCTACTCAACTCCCTCGCCCAACGCGACCAGTCACGCGTGACTTCTCGCGATTCATTAGCAGCATCTTAGTTGCTTGTAACCGGCGTTCCCACTCACTTATCCAGTGTTTATAGTCAACACGCTGATTTTTGGACCATTATAACCTCTGAAATCTACTGACGGCGACGCCGTTTTGACCGACGAGAGGCACAATACCGCGAGCACGTAGAGCGTCTTCCTTGTCACGTCCCCTGGTTGCTTCGACCGCCACACCTGTTGACAACAGAGATTTAGCGTTACACAGCCCATTTAGATAGTAGATTAAAAACAATATCTTCTTCTACTTTTGCTCCGCTGTACAGCCCATTGCGGCCGTGCAAATCATAGCCTCTCCAAACCCAGCCTGTAGACTGGTCACGCCCGGCCATAATCAGTAGCCTACACCCTCGCTATGCCCCCAATCGAGTGGAACATTTGGATGTACAAGAGTAGAGTAGTCAAGGCTGCGTGCATACCGTAAGCACTCCATAACATCCGCATAAAAGCTGGCGGAAGTGAGTGACATAAGTCTAGGACAGTGTTGATGCTAGCAAGCATTCAATTGCGCAATGACATATGGACCCGGTCCCATTGAGTTCTGGTGCCAGTCAGATAGCTGTACTATTGGGGCAATCTGTCACTGTAGAGCCACCTGTGCTACTCTCTGCCGTGTTAAATCCTCCTGATTGCACCGCACTGCGGCGACCGTGGTTGTCAAACATTCCCAACAACGGGGGTCAGTTTGTGCAAGTCACACACCCTTGGGCTCTAAAATTGAATTGACGTTCTACTCAACGGAGCCCGGATTGAGTTTGAGCATGACCAATGTCCTGAATCTTCATAGCAGCCTCGACTACCGTCAACGGTCGTCTTACTTTAAGATCGACTGGCAGGGGTCCTGATCTAGGATTCATCCTTGACTCACATACGCCATCAAACTTGCTACAACGAGCATTGTGGGTAGACCCTATTATCAGAGAAGAACATCCCGAGGTTGGCGTGCACTGGAATCGGCAACTAGAGGCGGGTAGACAAGTTGTCCTCAACGGTGCATTTTTGGGTCGTCTCGACTCTGAGTCCCAGGAATCGAAGCACCAGGTCACTTGGTTGCCTCTGTATTGCATCACCGGCCCTGCTACCTGTTCGGGCCTTTGACCGTGCGCTCGAGTCCGCCTCATCTTTTGTCTGAGCTTGTGAGATTAGGCCTGAGCCGGCCGCAACACCCCTTGGAGTGTCTACGAATAGCATCGGCACCCCACCTTACGCCAGTGCACCTCCGCTTCTCTATATTATGTAGGAGGTCGCATATAGCTATCTCAAGAAAGAGTAATACATTATGGTGATATGATAGAGTACTTTTCCACCAGCGCAAGCTATGAGCGCGAAGGCCCGGCCTCTTCCCGCTCGAGGTCCTCCAGACTCCACACCGGCCTCGACTCCAGTGAGTACTCATCTGTTTCCCCTGCAAGAAACCGGTGCATCGAAGCCCACGCAATCATGGCAGCATTGTCTAGATAGGAGCACTCATCAGCGGCAGCCCGGTGAATCGTGTTACGCAAAACATACCCGTACACAACGATGGGGGCGGAAAGGCGAGCGAGACATGCTTGTCCGGGCTTTCTCTATCCAAGCACGCGCGCAGCCTGCGCAACGCCATCAGCACACCTGATCCAATAACGAGCCAGGCATGGCGCACCTATCGCGCAAATACTGATTACTCGCCACACCCCCGCTCACGACCAAGCACCTCACCCTGAGCCCCTCCTTTGCGCACTGTCGCATTCCCAGCACAAGCTTGTCCTCCAGCTGGCCCACTGCCGCTTTCTGAAAGCTCCGCGCGATCCCTACCTTTGTCCTCTCGTCTACCTCGCCCTTCCGGGCGTGTAGGAATCGCTCGACCGCCGAGTGGAGGCCCGTGTACGAGAACGCCAGACGTCCGCGTATTGGCCGGGGCATCGGGATCTCCGCTCCTTCTCCTTCGCTGGCGCAGAGGCGCTCTATGGCCGCCCCAGCTGCCTTACCCTCGTATGGTATCCGCAAGAGTTTCGCGACCTTGTCGTATGCGTTCCCGACGGCTTCGTCAAGTGTCGTGGCGAGAATGCGGAAGGACGTAGGGGAGGTGGCGAGCAGGAGGAGGGTGTGGCCGCCCGATACGAGGAGAGTGAGGAAGGGGTATTGCGGGGGTTGGTCGGGAGGGGAAGTCAGGAAAGGCGTGAGTGCGTGGGCTTGCTAGAGGACGAAGGTCAACGGATTGTTCACAAGCAGTCGTACCTAAACGGGCATCTCTCGTAGACCAGAATCACAACGTCCACGTCGTCCCTTATTTCGGTACACAGACCGTGCGCTCTACCTCATGGGTCATTCCTTGAAATGTTTGGCGCAAGCTCACGTGTCCTCCCGATATTCGTCAAGGTACACGCCGAGGGTGACACCTGTCGCGACTCGAAAGGGCTTTGGCGAAACGGACACGTACCATATGATGTACGCCAACGAGTGGCTTGCTCAGCGCGGCCGCGAGTGTGCGCGCAGCGTTCCCACATACGCTAAGACAACCGGCGATACCTACGCAACGTCGCGCATGAGCTGAGAGGCATATGTAACCAATGATGCGCGACGTACCAGGTCCCCGAGTGAACGCAACGCCATCTATCTCATTCACGGTCAACCCCGCATCCCTCAACGCTCTCTGGACAACGACTGGCTAGACAAGTAGGGTAAGTCAGAGCGACCATCGAGCGTCGATCAAGACTTGCCATATTGCGCTGGTGAGCGTGAAGGGCGACATAGGGATGGATGCCACCATACTGCTCCAGCCTGTCGCGCGCGGTAGTAGAGTGAGAAGCTGTCTGAGACGCGAGGGTGGAAGGGAGTGCTTACGATGCCTGTTGATTGACGACTATGTTGGAAAGGATCTCGCGGTCCTCGGTGACTACGGCGGCGCAGGTATCGTCTGCGGAAGACTCGAGCGCGAGGACGGTGAAGCGGCGAGACGGAGGGCGTGGAGGTGGAAGAGGAAGGCGGTGTGGAAGTGGGCGAGAGCGGGCTATGTGGAGGAGACGGACATGGTACATGAGCGTCGGCGAATTGCAAGTATTTGCAGTGGTGGGAGACGTTGTGGCAGAAAAGGACAAGGTTGGACGCCACGCGCAACCGTCTTCGCACGTACGTCCCTCGCCCGCACTTGCAGCGCACTCCCAGCCCCGCTCAGCTCGCCCTGTATGTCCTCGGGCTAAGACGAGAGCAAAAGAGCACAGAAATGGCTGGTCGCTCGGCGCACGTCCGACGCATTTCCAACGAGCCGCGCTCGCCCGGGGAGCGCCGCCGCTCGTCGTCGCAGGGCGATGCTACCCCTCGCATCCCGGCCCCAGCAGCCTCCCTCGGCCTCGGTCCATCTCCTGCCCCGACTCCCAGCAGTGGACTTGGTCTCCTCCACCCCCACTCGCAGGACATCGGTACCGGAACCCCTCGCCGCACCAGCTCTTCCCAGCCACATACTCCCGCCGCGTCTACCTTCTTCCAGCCCGGCCAGTCAAATAACACTCAGACAAACGCCCCAGGCGGACAGCCAGCGACCCGTGACGGGCAGGCAGGAGCCCAGCTGACGGGGCCGGCAGGCGAGCATGCGCAGGCTGCTCAGGCTCCAGGACAGCAGCAGCAGCAGCAGCAGCAGCAGCCTAGCCGCTTGCTCGGATTTCTCGGTCTCGGCGACATGCTCCAATTGTCTTCTGCTGGCCTCCTCACCACCTCTGCTGCTGCCCACAACCACTCCGTCCCCACCCTCAACGCTAACTCAGGCTCCCATCCCCATCTTGCTGCCGCTGCTCACTCTGTCCTCGCTGCCACCTCCTTCCTCTCTGCCGCCGTCCCTCATCACCGCTCCGCCACTACTCCAATTCCATCAAGCTTGCTCCCCGCTCGGACCCATTCTCGAGGAGAGTCTGCCATCCCCCTCGACCGCTCCCAATCCCCCGCTCCCTTCATGGCTGCTCCCCCCGCCCCGCCAAGCAAGGGACACACGTCCCCTTCAAAGGTCTGTCCTCTGTCTCCTCTCCTTCGTCATGTTCCCCATCTCTTGCCGGTATCTGGGACCACAGCGCTCGGTTTGGGGTTTCCAATGTCACGACGTGAAGCGGCAAGACAGATCGAAGACGGCCGGCGGGTCCAGTGGATCATCTGGCTAGAATGTCGTCTACGTACTTCATTCCCTTGCCTGCTGGCTCGTCCGTGAATCCCTATGATCATACATAGGAGTTGGTGGAGGCATGGTGGTATGTTTCATATGTCCGTCCCGTCTCGTCTGGGGGCGAGCGCGATGTCGTTCAGGATCCGTATCTTCGCCTTCTCATCACGGCTAGCCCAAGCTCTGGTTCCCGATATCTCTTCCTGACTTCGTACTCTGATGACATCCTCACGCGTCCTAGACCTGCGTTCCTCTTCTCTTACTGGCACGAGAAGCTAGTGTGATGAACAAACTGCGGAGAACTCCCTCCCCGCACTACGTAACCGCGCTTGATCGTACTTAGTCCGCTCTCGTACACTGGGAATGACACTGCTCATGATCTCTTCTTGTCATCGCTCGTCGCCGATCTCTCCATCTGCCCATACCCCACCTTCTCTAGCTTCCATTTCCTGATTCATGTTCCGTCTCTTGCTTTCCTCGGAAACTGAGCTCACTAAACCCGCACCCAGGCCTCGTCCACGCGCACTTATGATTCGAAGCTCGTCTCGCGTGAGATGCACCGCCTGGGCAACCTTGCCCACCTCCCATCCCTCGGAGCCCCCTCCCTAACTTTGTCTACTGCCCCTTCCTCTCTCTCCCTCAACATGGCCCCAGCATCTGCGCCGAGCATCAATGCCACCCTCTCCGGGGAGAGCCCGTGGGCTTCCCTCCACGTCCTTATTCTGCCCTTGTTCAACCGCGAACAACTCAGGGTACAGATGTACGTCGATCACTCCGTTGCTTCCGTGTCTGTGTGCGTAGTTTGCCTCAGCGCTGACGTACATCACATTTTCTCTAGAGAGGACCTGAACCAGCTTGTCAAACGCCACATCTCGACAGTCGTTTCTATGGCGCCAGGCAAGGCCGTCGCCACCCTCGAGCACGATACCTTCGAGCTCATCGCGACTGGCATGGTCACACTTAACTCCAAGCTCTCGGGTGTGGAGGACGACAAGCTGGTGCCACGCGTCGTGGAACTTTGGACGTTCTTCTGGACGCAGGTATTGCCCTACCTTGAAGGCGTGCGTGCCGGAAATCCTTTTTGCCCTTGCGCTTGATCTGTGTACACTCAATTCTGCGATATAGGCCCTCCTCCCTTTGCAGATAGATCCCATACTGTCATCGCTATATCGACAGCCCAAGTCGCTTCGCCCTTCATCTCCTACTGCATCAACCCAGAACGGCAAGGCCTCGACATCAAACCTTTTGTTCCAGTCGTCCCCCTCGCCAATCGACGTCCGCGCCCTCGCGCTCGTGTCGTTCCGCGACCGCATCATCCTCCCGCTCTTTCCTCAGTTGTACGCACGTCTCACCATGTCGAAGGACGAGAATTCGTTCGGGCCCGAGAGCCAGCAAGCGCGCTTGCAGCAAATGTACGTAGCCCGTCCGCGTATGCCCCTCTCACGCTCATTCCCCACGCACTCCTTACCTCATAGGCTCCTCGTTCTCGTCTCGCAACGCTCCCAGCGCCTTGTTTCCCTCTCGCTCACCGCGCCCCCTCCCCAGCCCAGCACAGGCGAGGCCGCCATCGCGCGCCTCCTCCGCGCGCTGCACGCACCGCTTCCCCGCCAAGCGCGACCCGCAGGCGGGGCCGGGGCGCCATCCTTTCTCTCTGCAGGCCTCCCGCGCGACCGGCGCGGGCGCATCGCGCAGAAGGTCGAGCTTGGCTCCCCGCGCGGATGGGCTGGGCGCGACCGGTGGCGGTGGAGGATGGGTCAAGAGGAGGATGAGGACGAGGAGGAGTACGGGGCTGAAGAAGGGGGATGGAGGGGGAGAGGGAGCGCGTACGGGCCATATGGGGGGAGAAGCGCGTACTGGGATGACGGGGAGGCGGATACGCCGAGGCTGGGGGGGAGCTTTGCGGACCCGGGTAGGGAGAGGGACAAGGAGCTGTTGGAAAGCTTGAGGTGAGTTCGTTCTGTCGATATATCTGGGCTTTGTGGGGTCTGGCCCCGGGACAGGTCAACTCGCCTTGTCTGCGTCTGCGACGCGCCCGTTCCACACTGCACTCTGTTTTGCCTCGAGGTTGTAGTGGAGCGCAAACTGAGCGGATGGGTACGAGGTCAAGTCTTCCTCGCGTCGTGTGTGCGCCATCGTGCGCCGCAGGGATACATATCCATATGGTGCCCCCAGGGAGAGATCCGCGCGGGGACCAGTCGCAAATTCCATGCTAACACCAGCTGCGTAGGAGCCCCGATCCAGACAATCCCGCGCAGATGAATCGGGCAGGCTGGGCCCAGGGGCCTGAAGCGGGCATCCCAGCGCATTCGCCAGGGGCGGACGAGGATGAGGGGGACGAGGATTACGAGCGTGTGGATGATATGGACTGGGACCAAGCACAGGTGCGTCATCGTTGCAGGTGGTCTGCCGGTGCGGTGTCGGGGACATGGATACTAACGTTGCGGTAGGCGATGGTCGAAGATATGATTGGCATGGGCGGAAAGGCTGAGGTGGCATCCCAGCAACAGGGAGCTGGACGCGCAAGGTCATCTGTGGAGGGGTACAAGGTCTAGGATTGGGCCTGTTCTATCGTCTGGTTCGCTCTTGGTGTAGCAGTAGTCGCTGTGTATATGCTGTCGGTTGTAAGTCCATCTTGCTCTCCATAACTTGCCAATTTGAAACGCTCCTCTACGTGTGCAGAGGCTACACAGATCGAAGGCAGACGCGGCGGGTGCCAACGCGTAGGCGGGTCGACGCCACCAAGCCTAACGAAGCCGGACCAATGACGCCGTCACGCGGGCGGTCTTGATTGAGACTAGCCCAGCCTAGTGGTCTTCCTGACTATCCATGTCCCTATTTGGTACTCACCATACGGGACTCCCGATGGCAAAACCCTCCGGCCCAGACCAGCGATCAACGTCGATCAACTGCTGTCGAACCAAATCCCTTGTGTCGGAATGCGGCCACATGTGCAACCCCATTTCACTTCCTCTGCTCTTCTTCTCGAGACTCTATCGCCGCTCCTTGGCCCGCTGTATGTCGTCTACTACTTGGGGACTATCGTACTGTCTCTGTAGTCTTGTGTCTTGTTCGGCTTTGCCCCCTCACATCCGCACGTCTTGTTGCATCTGCACGTCAAAAATCGGCAATCGAGACTCAACCACTCTTCTTGCTCGTCGTCTGAACGCAACTGGAGTTTGAGCATACTAGGTCCACTTCGCATAGACACTTCTTCAAGTCTACCATGGTGCGCAGACTCTCCCCGTCATCTCAGCGACAACAACCGTACTGACACTCACCCCATGTCAAGTATATTCTTTCGGCATGCACCTTCACTCGTCTTCCCAACAGTAGCAAGCCCTCGAGTTCCTACCTATAGGGTTCGTCATCGTCGGAGGCTCCATATGCGGTCTATCCTGCGCCATCGCCTTCTCTCGTGTTGGGCACAAGCTGACCGTGTTCCACCCTATCAACCCCTTCTTACGCGCACGCGTTGCACGTCCCTCCTACTTTACAGAAGGTACAGCTCTCGACTGACGTGCTCTCTGTCGTAGGATCCGATCGATGTGGGTTCTCGCCAACCACGCGTGAACCATGCTCGGGAGGCCACCGCGGGCAACATCTTCGCCGTGTTCATCCCCCAAGTCGTAGCCTCTGCACACGATCGCTCCTTACGGCAGCGCACCGAACGCGCAGCGAAGATCCTCAGTGAACTGGCGCAACATGGACCGCAGTCGAACTCGGAGATGAACGAGCAGACGAGGCAGATGTTGCAGGCTGTGGAGGATATATTCGAGCACGACCCGGAGGACGTGGCGGATGATGGGCGAATGGAGTGGAGACTGCTGCTGCGCGGGGCCGTGGTATAGCGGACGATGCGTGGCAAGGGCGGCGACGATGAGGACGCGATCTTTATGTCACCGATCGCCGTTGCTTGAATACAACGACTAATACTCACAGTAGCTGCTCCCCGTTCTTTCGACTCTTTCGCATCTCATACTCACGGGGCCCGTAGCTGCAGATCAAAGCCGTGCCGGACTCTACCACATACACACGAGATCTAAAGTTCCATTGTCTATCATAGCACACCCCCTGTCTACGTTATAGACGGCTGACCACCCTACATAGCCCCAACGCTATCTTTCCTTCCCGCGAAGCCACAATGGGCATCGATCGCCCTAGGAACCCGCAGTTCCGTTGCCCTCTCCACTCCATGGCTGCTCCTGCACAGTACGATACAGCGCCTAGCGGAACGATAGCGCATTCCCGAACAACACGCTCAGGAACTTCCAGCTCCGCTCTCCAGTAGGTATTCCAGCGCTCAGTTACTACGGGCCGTCCATGGGTTGCTGCTGCCTTGCGACTCTCTTCCTCGACACAATTTCTGCGCATGCGAGGAGAGACAAATCATATTGCACTGTAAGGGTCCCGCCTCATAGGATTGTGGCGTGCGGTGGTGCTGAGAGCGCTAGACTGGGGGTCGGGGCTCAAATCATCTCAACGTGTTTTGCGGGCATGCGCTATCGTCTTGCAAGGCGCTGTGAGTAAGGAATTGTGGATACCTCCGCCTTGAATCTGTCTGGGGCGGAGCTCTGCGTGGCATTCTGATGGTGGCGCGCGGGCACATGCACATCCCGTCTCACAGTCCTTGAAGGGAGGTCGTTCCAGACTTCCGCTTGTTCTGTTAGATTTGACGGGGCTTTCACGATGTCAACGGTTCTGATACGCATCGCATACTTCAAGGTATATTGTACCGCGACGGTCATACAACAGGGTTTCACGACTTGTAGTCGTCGCTTGCTGGGTGATCGCCATACAGCTGACCATATTTGCAGGCGCCCCTTCTCAGCGATCCACCTGAGGTCCTCAGGGGATCCCTACCAATTTCGCCTTCAGCATGCGAGCTCTCGCCTTCAGCTTACGGCCAACTGCAGCTTTTATATCTTTTGAAGGCTGCAATGAGACTACACCAACTTCGTCTTCCCTCACATCTGCTGACCATACAAACCAAAGGACATCACGGTCCAGTCACTGAATGATGATTAGTCCTATTGACATGCATTCTGTCCTGACATAGATTCAACGCATCTGGCACTTGCCAACCGGACTGTCAAGCTTCCACAAGGTACTACCTATGCTCGAAGTTGAGGCTGATCTCTTCAAGCGAATTGCATTGATTCCACGGACGAACGCGGACTCGCATCCGATTTTGGACTGCCTGTAGTGATGGTATGTACAACTTCCCTCTGCACCAAGCCGAAGACATGAACAAGGCGCAGAAGGTAACTGGCCATTGCAGAGACGATTCCATCAGCCCATCTGTGGAATAGGTGAACGGGTAACAGGTGATTGCAAGCCAGCAGGCATCGAGACGACCACCGCTAGCCGATGTCGACCTTAGTGTCGGGTGCAGAGAAGGCTCAGCAATACGTCCAAAAGATCTGGACCGCGAGTACCTGCCGTATGAAACGCCTGCCAGTGACCAATGCCAGCAGTCCGATCGCAGGAATGTGTTTTGGCCCTTTACTGCACGCTTGTTTTGTTTCCCCTTTCCTGGCCTGTCCGTTTCCTAGGGCTCACGCCACGCGTCCTCTCTGCCCAATAAAGCTGCAGCTGTCCTTTTCACTATTTTGACGAACCATGACGAGTCTGCGTTCCTCCGAATTCCTGACCGTAGATACACCTCGACGCTACGCTTATGAAGTAAGGACACCACGGTACGTCGAGAAACAAGCAGGCTCGAGTTCATGCAGCCGATCGATATTGACAGAGCTCCAGAATCCGCCGCATATACTAGCCATCGACTTCTAGAATGTGTGCGGCTCTACCTGCGGTTCTTAGCGGCCAAAGTCTCCATCCGCCAGGCCGATCACAAGGGCACCCTCTGGGATCTGCTATCTGTTCGTCTTAGTACGTTCCGTTCGGGGTTATGTCAAACGGACACGCACTCTCCTTTCGTAGACTATAGAATGCCTTGTAGTTCGAGTACCGCCTGTAACCGTATTCCACAAAAGTGCACTATCGATGAGGTTGGGGAAGCAGCTGAGGACGCGTTCGGTTCCAGGGTCGGTTTGGAACGTTGTCATCGCTTGTAAGTCTGAACGCTGGGCTACTATCGCTTCCGGCGCATTTTCTCCACTCGAAGGGAACGGGCGGTAATATCGTATCAGTGCGCACTTATCCCAGGTTTTCTTGTGATTGGCTAAAGGGCTCTCTGTAATCCTCGCCCATTCCAAATTGCACTGGCATTCGTGAATCGGGGGAGACGATTAGCGTACAGTAGCTTCAGGCAGGGGGTTCGTGGCATGGACCCACATTTCATTAGTTTTGAAGGATACGAACGAATATTACGTGTGTATGTATGTGCAATTGATCGCTCAATTAGACGGGCTGGGCCCCCTTCGAGCTGCAAGTCGTGGCACGCGACACCAGGGATTGTCGTGTTCGAGGAGTAGACGGAGTTGGGCTCTAGGCTAACTCCCGGGTGATCGAGCGCTGGTGAATCGGGTGACTGATATGCTCTGATCTCCGCCATTTCCGCACTTGGTACCATTATCTGTCCGGCTTAAGTGGATGACTTCCCATAAGGATCTACGGCTCTGGAGTGTCCGTAGACATATATCGGAGCTCTAATCTGTCCAAAGATCTCGGGCGCTCAATGATCAGGCCGGGATATCCGGAGAGCGTCGAATGCTATGCACGTGCTCTTTTGCGCCTTACATCAGCACCCAATGTAGTAGGCGATTGATCCCAACACAATTTGTAATGATGGCACCTTCCTTTCGAGTCGTTTACGACCTCAAGCGAGCTTCTACGGCTGCGTTTAGGTCTAGAAAGGGGGGTCGACCCCCCCTTCTAGATTTTGGGCGCTTGCAGCATCTACGGACGTCGGCCTCGACAGCGGAGTACAAATCGGCATCGGCATCTCGGCGGATAGGACACTTTCAGTGAGTATCTACGGACGACAAAATGGCCGTAGATCCTTATGGGAAGTCATCCAGTGTTCCTACGCGGCGGACAAGTGAACGGGTGTGGGCACAAGAGCGGATGGGAGGTTTGTCAGGGTTTGTTTGCGCGCAGAAGCACATTCGAGGCTAGAAGTCGTGATGGGAAGTGTGAATCTGGCCTCCTCAATCTGGCCCTTCCCGCGAGAAGTCGAAGGCTGTTCGCCGCTTTTGTCCTCACACTTGGAGCTGGATGTGGATATCCAGCGGGATTGTCTACTTATGCTGGTGCAGTCGTGACCCCAGTGTCGCCCGATTGGCTGCAGCGATGCACGCAGCAGTCGCGCCTTGCAAGGAACGGCTCCGTTGATCAGGTCCAAGCTACCAGATAAGGTGAGATGCGTTTGCCGGGCTGCACCTAAGTAAGTACAGTACTGCTTAGGCACTGTTGAGGCACATACTTATGATCGCAAGCAAGGACGACGCCATCGGAAGCACTCGACAGTCTTGATCTCACCTGGGATCTGACAGGACAACCTCCATGGCGGCCCGTCTATCAACCGTTTTCCTTTATTTTGAACGCCTCTGCCCACCTCTCCCGCCATATATCCCGTACTCCTCCCCCACCCTTGCTCTGCACGACCCCACGTCCCAAGCCTCTCACGACGTCCTGCTTTTCACGATCTGCCATGGTATGCCTCGTCGCCCCTGCTCCCGTTCGCGCCCATGACTGACCTAGACACAAAATAAGCATTCCCAGTCTGCCTTGTCCATCGAGTTCATCATCGTGGGCGGAGCCATCTCTGGTCTCGCTTCCGCCGTCAGTTTGGCTCGCGTAGGACACAAGGTCACCGTCCTCGACGACAGTTCGGACTTCTATGACGTAAGTCTCCAACCTTCGAACATACATGTCGTCGATATGCATCTGCGAGTGTAGACCCCTATGGGTGCAGGAGCCCGAATCCCGCCCAATGCGACCAAGGTCCTCTACCGATGGGGGATGGAGCAAGCTCTGCGCGAAGTCGCAATCAAGTCCACCGGCGTTCTCTTCGCACAATGTATGCTTCCTCTTCTTTCTCGCGTATCTCATGTGCTCATCACATGCCACAACAGTCGACAACGGCTCGATCGTAGGCACACACGAATGGGAGGAATCCGTGCTGGAGGAGACCGGCGGCGACTTCCTGCTCCTCTCGGTGCGTATGTCAACTTTTTCATGGTACAAGTACGCCCTTGCTCATCCCTCGCCCCTGCCTCAGTATGGCGACTTGCGCAGAATACTTGCCGAGTTCGCCGTCAAGCACGGTGCAGTGCTCCGACCGAACAGTCAAGTCATCTCCGTCCAAGCGGACACTGAACGGCCATCCGTAACCCTCATCACAGGAGAAGTCCTCACAGGCGACGTCATCATCGGTGCGGACGGGTGTCATGTGCCTCCATATCATACTCGGAGAGTGGTGCTGGAGGCTACGGAGCAAGAGGACATCGAGAAGCCCACGGGTTTGCAGTTGTTCAAGTAAGTCGCTGTCCGTAATCGGACGCGCCTGCAGCCGTCAAACGTCCTTTTTCCCCTAAAGTGTGCTCGTCCCGTGGTCGGCGGTGGACAAACTCAATGATCCAGTCGCGGCCAATGTGAAAGGCACGGTATGTCGCATGGCCTCGTTCAGTACTCGCACTATCCCCTCATCCTCCTCTCATCCATAGGGGAAGCTCTGTACCTGGTTCGGTCGCACATATGGCGCACTCGGGTTCCCAGTAGTATGTGCTCTCCTCTGTGAGATCCCTTCTACCGCATGACAATACATTCTGCAGAAAGAACCAGGGACAGGGGCATCACTGTTCACCCTCTTCGTCTATGTAGAGCGCGACGATGACGACATGACGGTAGTCTACGCCGGCAAAGAACACCTCGTCCGTTGGCTACAAGGTTGTGATCCACGGTGCGTGTGACCACCATATCGCGGAATACGTGCTTAAAGTGGCCTTGCCATAGACTGCGCACACTGGCTGAATCGGCAGAAAAGATTATATGCATTCCGATGATTGAGCGACCGTTCCTCGAAGAGTGGATACATCCTGATGGTCGTCTCCTTTGCATCGGTGAAGCTGCACACCCTATTGCCGTGAGTCCAGCTGGTCATGCACGTACACCGACGGTGCCCTTATTCGTACTACTGTGACGTCAGGCTGGCTCCATCTACGCCCTCAGCATGTCCATTGGCGACGCCGCGGTCCTCGGCAAGCTCTTCTCGCACCTGCACCGCAAGGAGCAGATTCCAATCTTCCTAAACGCCGTGCAAGAGATCCGCGAACCGCGCGTCCAGAGCGTCCTCAAGGCCTCCCTAGGCAACATCTTCGCCGTCTCGCTGCCTCCGGGCATCGCCGAGCAGCGCGATCGCGAATTACGCGAACGCGCCGAGCAGGAAGTGTGGAATCTTGGGAGAGCCGGCACGCAGACGACGAGCGAAGAGATGATCATGGTGCGTTGCGACGATTCTAGCCAGCCCTCTGCATTGCCGGGCGGTGCTGACGATTGGGATAGGCCATTGAGGGTATCTTCGCTTACGATCCTGAAGACTCCGCCGACGACTGGTGGCAGCAATGGGGGATCACGCATGAACGCGCGCAGCGCCTGTTCTTTGGCGGGTCTTTCGGGCTGAACGTCGCGACGGAGGAGGAGGACTGAGCGTCCTGGGCCACATCGGCCGCACCAGTCGTACGCTATACACAGTCCGTCGTTCTGGTCATGCGCCGCGCATGATGACTGATGATCTTGCCCCATGTGAAGCTGTGGTGATATCCCCGTGCTGTATTACTATTGGAGAGTGAATTGTGATCACTATGCATACCCATCCATACTTTGACTACGTCCACCACCACATATCGCATACATTTTCCTCGTTGGCATTCGTCTTTGTCCTTGTACGCATACGTCATGGCCGACCAGACCTTCTCATGCTGTCATTATACTCATCATCGCTTACGTCGAATTCCATACACACATGCTCTAGATATCCCCCATGCTATCGTCCTTCCTTGAGAAGCTGGAGCGATCCGTATAGACGTGTGCCTGATGTCCCTTCTGGCCGATCTAGGACCAACCCGTCGCCCAAGAGCGACACTCAAACCACAGTCGGCCCGCCGAGATTCCAGGCCCCTGTACGTTGCAATTGCAGGCAGCAAGCTGCAATCCCGTAGTGGGCAAGGCGGCCCAGCGCGCTGGAGACATTGGTTGGAATGCACGAGATGAGATGAGGCCTCGATCGTACCTGCGCGAGTCATGCATCGCGGGTACGGTATACAGTCATACACGGGTCCTCGGGACACCATGGGTCCTCGGGACACTGCGCGTTTTCTGACCCTCCCTCTATCCTACTGCCTCAGGTTTTTGTATATATCTATATAGACTTCTTACAGCTCACCTCTCCTCAAATTTCATCAGAGGCGACCCAGAAGTGAAGTCACCAGCCCAGTTTCTGTACAAGATTTACACGAAAACCAAATCTGGGACTGGTTCCCGCCCAAATCTATACTCACCGTGCCCATGGGTGTGCCCCATTTCTGGTGTACAACAAGGCGACATATATCTCCTTCTCTCAGCAACTTTATATGGTGAGATTTTGACACTGAGCCCTGATAGTCATCGACACAGTGTGGAAGGGTAGTTCTTGCGCTCAAGCAATCGGGCGTTTAGATGTCCACATACCATATCCGGGTTCGGCTATCCTCGGCAACAGCAATTTCGTTCCATACGAGGGAATTAAGCGCTGTCCCGAGGACCGAGGGACGTGC